AAAAAAAAAGTAGTTCTGAGAAGGCATTTGGCTGCTAACCAGAAAGTTGGCAGTTCAAGTAGTAGTACTGGTAGATTCAACAGACGTAACGTCTAGATAGTGGAGGAGGTGGAAATAAAGGGACTGAGTCAAGAGATGTTTTGGAGATAAAATGGACAGAACTTGGAGATTTGATTTGGGGAGAAAGAGAAAGGAAAGGTCAAGGAGGAGCCCTGCGTTTCTGGCATAAGCACCTAGGTGGTTAGGGTTTCCACACTGAACCAGGACCAGGCGTTTATGACAAAACTTTGAAAAAATAAACATACTGCTCTGACTGCTTAGTTAACAATTTGATATAAATGGATAAATTATACATAGCAAGTAATTCAGAAACAGAGGAGTACCTGGTCTTCCTTCTCTGAAACCTGGAACCCAGTAAAAAGGAGGTGGCATTAATGCTAACATGAAGGCACTATTCAATCAAGATTTTCACTCCAAGATTGCCATGTTTCCAGAGGTTTCCAAGTTTGTCAAGGTCATTGACTTTTTAAATGTAATTCATTTTTTCTTTTCTCTTCTACCAAAGGTCAGTGAAGAAGCCCTTTCTGTTTCCTGTATAATTTTTGCAAGCCTTAGTTCCCACAGAGTAGCTGGTGGGTTAGTTCATACCAGTTCCATCATTTACTTCCCAATAGTCACATAAACCAGTTGTTCTTCAGTTGACCCTAACTCAGGGTGACCCCATTTATGTCCAAGAACCACTGTACTCCTTAGGGTATTCAGTGGTTGATTTTTTTTTTTAAAGTAGATTGCCAAGCCTTTCTTCCAAGGCACCTTCTGAAGTGCATTTGAACCTCTAACCTTTCGATTAGCAGTCAAGGACATTAACCATTTCAATCACCCAGGTTCATGCTATTCATTTGTACTTTTATATGCCCATCTATGTTTATTATTTTAGAACTAAGATCATCAAAAAGTCCCTGGACATCATGTAAGTTTCATGAACTACTTCTCACTTTTCTTCTTTGGAGGCATTTGTGACTGTGTTTTCTGATTCTTGTGTTTTACTGTGTCCCTCCTCTTTTGAGTGTTTTTCCTTTCAGAGCTTCTAGTCATAAAATTGGATGCTACTACTTTTGTCCTGAACTGTCCAAACTTTTCTTTCCTAAAGTCATGCTCCAGTGTCCTTCACTGTTATGGGCAGTTGTTGTCAAAGAGCCCCTGACACAGATCACTCCTGGTAGGGGAGCAGCGTCAGGACCACATGCTCATGAGCACCAACCTGTGGCCTCAGAATGGTTGGTCACATTCTGGTCAGCTATGTAGTTCAGACTATGATCGAGGCCTTCCAACGATGTTGGCCATGAGCTGTAATAGACGCCCATAAAACATAAACTAATTGCATTTTCCATAAATATATAATTTAGATTTAGCCCTTAGACCTTTGTCACAAATACAGTAGCCATTTGAAATGTGGCTGGTCTGAACTGTGATGGAACATAAGTAGAAAATTCACACTGGATTTTAAAGACTTGTAAGAAAGAATGCAAATATCTCATTTTTTTAAATATTGATTACAAGTTGAAATATTTAACCTAATATTTTGACTATATTAGGTTAAATAAAATATATTATTATAATTAATTCCTTTTTTTTTTTAATTTGGCTACTAGGAAATTTTAAATGAACTACATAGATCGATTTGGGACTTGCATTATATTTCTACTGGACTCTATTGCTCCAGATTTATGATTAGCTAACATAGAAATGGTTATTATGTGTTAAACTAAAACCAAACCACACAGCCATCAAGTCAATTCTGACTCATAGTAACACCCATTGGGTTTCTAAGGCTGTAAATCTTTACAAAAGTAGATTCCCTCATCTTCATCTTCCTCCCACAGACAAGCTGGTGGGTTTGAACTGCCGACCTTCTAGTTAGCTGCCAAATGTCCAAATGCCTTACCCACTATGCTACCACTGTTAAAACACTTAGGAGTACTTTAGATATATCATCCTCATGCTTCCTATGAAGTAGGTACTATCATCTCCATTTACAGATGGGAAAATTGACACATTGGAAGATGAAGCAATTTATCTGGACCACAAAGCTCATAAGTGGGATCTGAACCCTGTTAGTCTGTGCCCAGAAGCACTTTCTTATTGTAAGTTTTCCTGCATTATTTTTATAGACTGACTGCATAACTGTTGGAGGCAGGAACGCTGCACTTAAAATTCAACCAGAATGAAATCCCCAAGAGCTGTAATACCCGTTGCCATAGAGTCAGAATTGATTCATGGCTATTCCTTATGTGTCAGAGTAGAATTGTGCTCCATAGGATTTTCAATAGCTGATTTTTCAGAAGTAGATTGCCAGGGCTTTTTTCCAAGGTGTCACTGTTGTTGTTGTTGTTATGTGCCGTCGAGTTGGCCCCGACTCATAGCGACTCTTCCTTGGGTTTCCGAGGAAGTATCACTACGGAAGTAGGATTGCCCAACCTTCCTTCCGAGGAGTGGCTGGTGGGTTTGAACCGCCAGTCTTCTGGTTAGCAGTCAAGTGCTTTAGCCACTATGCTACCAGAGCTCCTAAGGTGTCACTAGGTGGACTTGAACCTCCAATCTTTCTGTTAGCAGCTGAACGTGTTAACTATTTGCATCACTCAGGGACTTTGAGAGCTGGAACAAGTTATCTTTATTTATATTTATGTCCAAGTACTAAAACTAGAACTGCCTAATAGCATTTAAGGGAAATGTTACTATGTATTAGTTACTGTGGCTGCAAAGACAATACTGCTCCCTTCTTCAATAAAGTCACAAAGAAAGCAGGTGGATCTGTCTGGGGTGGGGGTGGGGGAAAGAGAGAGACAAATAGTGTGATGAGAACCAGGCATAGTGTTCTCTACCTTCCTCTTCCATTTCTCTTCCTCATAACTTAAACATTAAAAAATAAATAAATAAAGGAAATCAAAACTTTTTTTCCCTTCCTTAAATAAGGCACATTCAGAAAGAGGCAGACAAAGTTTGTCCTCTTCAAAGTGGATCAAGAACCACAGGCAGAGAGTCATTGGCCTGACACTGCAGGTGGGACTGTCAGGTCCCCCAGCAGCTGATGACTCTGTGGGAAACTGAAAGCCAAGACCATTACAATCGTCCTTTCCCTCTTTCAAAACAAAATCAAAGCATCATTAATCCCAAAGTCTAGACTTAAAGAGGAAACAGACCTTAAAAACAATATATTGGCTTATTATTGTCAGAGAATGTCCCCATTTCCCAGTTCTCCAGAATGATCAAGAGCAGCAGTTTAGCTGAAGCTCTTCTCATAGAAGCTGTTTCCAAAAATAGGACAAATTGCTGAAGAGATTAACTGAGGCCATCTATACTGGAATTTTCCAGTTGGATCCCTCAGTTTCCAGAAAGTAGAGTGAATGAGCAGCCTGGAAATGGGGTTACATTCTATTTTCAACCACTGTAGCACAAGATTTATGTTACCTTCTAGTGGATTTTCATCTTGTTTTTCAACCACAGCTGTGGTTCCCTAAAACAAAAAACAGTGCCATCAGAAAAATGATTTTTCTAGGAAAAAGTTTAATACCACCATATGGTTGCTTATTAAAATCTAGTTCTCAGAAATAAAATCTAAGACACTAAAACCAAAACCAAACTCACTACCGTCGAGATAGATCTGACTCATAGCAACTCCTCCCTGGGTTTCCGAGGCAGTATCACTATAGAAGTAGATTGCCCAATCTTCCTTCCAAGGAATGGCTTGTGGATTTGAACCACCAGCCTTCTGGTTAGCAGTCAAATGCCTTAGGCACTATGCCACCAGAGCTCCCATCTAAGACACTAAGTTTCTTTTAAGTTAAATTCATTATGAATTTTGATTAGCAAAATCTTTAAATTAAAGAATACTGTAATTGGGAAATGGGTGAATGGAGTCAACAAAAGAAAAATCACAAAGGAGAAGCAAGCCCAAAAAGGCCTCTGGTATCCTAGAGGCTTCTAGAAACTAACTGGCATCCTAGGGAGCTGGGCTAGGAACCAGACACTAGGGACCCTGATATCCAGAGTCCATCACCTTTCTACTAGGTGCCCCACCCTCCACCTGGAGTGCTGCCCTTCCTTCCAGGTGACAATCTACTTGAGCACATTCTTCTCATGGCCTTCTAATCACAGTCTAGCAACATGTCTCAGCCAAAGACCAGGACAATACATGCTTAAGGAAATACAGAGGCTACAGAAAAGCAAACCTATTGATCATGTTCTTACGTAACAACAGAAATAAATGCCAGAAGCACTCCTAGAATAAATCTAGGTTTGTTAACCCAGACCCTGTTGGCTCAACTAGGAAAACATAAGTTTTCATGACTCTTCTCCAGCCACACCTGTTGAGAACCTATAGGACAAACAGGTGTCTCAAGGACCCACCCCACCCAGGAAGGATTGCTTAGGTCCTAGCACCAATAACCTTAATCAACCCACCTTTGCTAATAAGAGTAAGATTCTACTGAAAACCAGAATCTGTGCTCTCTCCTTTTCAATCTATTTAGAATTATGTCCCCTCCTCCTTCACTTTGAAATATATCCTGGTTTGGAAAATAAGGTATATGGTTACTGTAAATTTAATCACACCAACTGATTTTTTCTATTTAGAAATGGCTAGGACAACCAGAATCTGTGCTTGAATGAAGCTTTTCCTATAGTACAACATCCAGGTAACTTCACATTTCCTCCTTTTCAGTGCCTGCTGTGGTAAATGTGAATTCTAAATTACCAGTGAGAACAGAAACTGTGTGGAAATAGCGCATTTTCTCTGGAAGCAACACTCAACAAACTCAACTCACTGCCATAGAGTCGATTCCAACTCATAGCAATCCCCGTTGGGTTTCTGAGGCAGTAAATCTTTATGGAAGTAGATTGCCCCATCTTCCTTCTGTGGAGTGGCTGGTGGGTTTGAACCACCAACTTTCTGGTTAGCAGTCAAGTGCCTTAGGCACTACTCCACCAGAGCTCCTTCTGGAAGCAATGCAAAGGAGTTAAAAACTCATGTAGCAAGCAGAATAACCACTTGTCCCCATGTCAAGAACCTCCTGAAGAGAAATAGCAGATACTCCTCAAGATTTAGATGGAATTGAGCCAAACCAAAACACTAATGCTTTGTGCAGCCCACCTGGGATGTATGCTGCTGCTGCTGTTATGTCCCTTTGAGGTGGACCCAACTCATCGCGACCCCTCCTTGGGTTTCTGAGGCAGTATCACTACAGAAGTAGATTGCCCAACCTTCCTTCTGAGGAGTGACTGGTGGGTTTGAACCGCCAGTCTTCTGGTTAGCAGTCAAGTGCCTTAGGCACTACGCTACCAGAGCTAATTTTCCTCAAATCTATAAATGGTGTTCCAGTGCTAGTGGTAGTTTGAAAAAGTTATGCTGATGGACCTTCAAAACTTGAGAATCATTTTGAAGGTAATCATTTTCTCTAACCATGAGCAAGTCACAGCAAAGAACACTGAATGTACCATAAACTATTAGAAGAATGAATAAATCGTCCTGGAAGAAGTATAGCCAGAATGCTCCTTAGAAGCAAGAATGGCTAGACTTCATCTCACCTACTTTTGTCATGCTGTCAGAAGGGACCAGTCCCTGGAGATGGATATCATGCTTGGTAAAGTAGAGGGTCATTGAAAAAGGGGAAGAACTTTAATGAGATGGAGTGACACAGTGGCTGCAACGATGGGCTCAAACATGGCAACAACTGTGAGGATAGTGCAAGACCAGGCAGTGTTTTATTCTGTTATACAGAGGGTCACTATGAGTAGAAACCAACTCAGTGGAACCTAACAACAGCAAGCAGGTCACAATGCCAAAATGTCAGAGAGGAGGCACTCAGGGGGCTTAATCCATTAACTTAGGGAGGGAAAGGCCAGGGACAGGGGCACACCATCGTGGAGGAAAGGGGTGGAGGACAGAGCTATGGCATCCCTTTAAAAGGGAAGCTAAAATGAGGAAGTGTGACGAAAGAGGGCCCACGACCAAGCCTCCCTACCTTTAAATCTGCTGATAAGCTTCCTAATTGGAAGCACACACCTGGGTGGAATACAGATGGCACAAATGTGGTAACTACAGTCACAAAACACATTTATAATTCTGGGGTGAAAAACTGCAGGCTATGGTGATAATTTGACAAGAGAGGGGAGACAGATCTCAGGATGTGCCAAAACAAAAATGAGAAGAAGAAAGGGGAGAAGGGGTGCCAAGGAGAGGAAAAGAGTGCCAACGCTGAATTTTTACATAAGGGAAGATAAATCAGGAGACAATGTACTTTCATTTCTGAAGTTGATAACTCAAACCTATAGTTTAAAGATGAAAAGGTAGCCACTAGAAGACAGACAGACCATTTCTTAATTAAAAGCAAATTGAGAAGGGTAAAGGAAAAAAACAAAACCTCAGACAGTACAGCAAAAGATAAAAAAAAAAAAAAGTGATGCAAAAGTCACTCAAGTTTATCTGTTAAAAGCATAAAATCCACTCAATCCTGCAAAACACTAATGCTTTGTGCGGCCCTGCAATAACAGTAATAACAACAACCTACAAGTAGATACACAGACACACAAGTTGAACAGGAGTGGGAAGGCAAATAGGGCTAACTATATGTGTGTGTGTGTGCGTATTCGACAGAGTATTTCTACATAATATTTTCATATGTTGGAAATATATTCACGAATGTAACAGAGCACACAGGCAACAAAGTTATGGAAACTTCTTGTTGTTGTTGTTGTTGTTATGTGCCGTTGAGTCAAACCCGACTCATAGCAACCCCTCCTTGGGTTTCCGAGGCAGTATCACCACGGAAGTAGGATTGCCCAACCTTCCTTCTTAGCCATAACCAAACACCCTGAGGGAATGAGTGCCTGGGCCTAGGGGCTCAGGACCATAGTCTTGGAAGGCACCAAGGTCACCTGTATAACATAGTCCACTAAGACAGTATTCTCCATCATACTCTGGTGAATAGCAACTGAGGTCTTAAATGCTTGTAAGCAGCCATCTAAGGTGAAATTACTGGTGTTTCCCCGTCTGGACCAAAGAACAGTGAAGAAATTCAAAGACCCAAGGAAACAACTGGTCCAAGAGACTAATGGACCATGTAAACCACAGCCTCCACGACTCTGAAACTATAACTAAATGGTGCCTTGCTACTATTGATTACTACTCTGAAAGGGATCACAAAAGGAGGTCCTACATAGAGTGGGAGAAAAATGTGGAACAAATTAAAAAAAAAAAAAAAAAAAAGACCAGGCTTACTGGTCTGACAGAGATTGATAGAGCCCCCCAGCCCATGACCCTTAGTCACCCTTCAGATCTAGAACTAAACTCATCCCTGTGGCTCAACTTTCAGCCATATGATAGATAGGCCTATACAGTGAACAATAACACCAGGGAGGGATGCACACTCCTTAGAATTATCACACATATGAGATAAAAAGGGCAGCATTTGCCCAGGGATAAAGTTCAGAGGCAGGTAAGGATAGGAAAGAAGGACAGATGGAAATGGGAAACACAGGGAGGAAGTGGGAAGAATGCTGTTACATCATATGAATTGTTTAATGTAAAACCAATTTGCTCTGTAAATTTTCACCCAAATCACAATAAAAAGTTTGCAAAAAGAAAAGAGTAAAATCCAAATTTAATTTTAAAAGAAAAGAAATTCAATTAGATATTTTATAAAAGAAGCACACCTAAAAGAGACTTGAAAAATTGAAAATAAAAGGTTGGGACAAAAATAACCAGCAACTGCAAGTTTTAACAAACAAAAGTCTAGACATTAAATTTAAGTGTTAAGGCAAAGACCTACAAAAAGGGTATCACTGTGGATACACAGGAAACATACTGAGAAAAAAAATTACTACACTTTGACAGCAGCGTGCTAACTTCTCTAATAAATATTTTAGGGGTCCCTCAGTAGCACTAGACTACTAACCAAAAGATTGACAGTTCTAACCTACCCAGAGGAACCTTGGGAAAAAAACCTGACAATCTGCTTCACAAAGGTCATAATCTTGAAACCCAGTGGAACAATTCTACTCTCCACATAAGGAATTGCCATAAGTTAAAACTGTCTCAAAAGCAACTAACAACAACAACATAAATATCTTACACAGGGGAGAAAATGAGGCACAACCCAATAGAAGAAAAAGAAAGACAGGACGTCAACAAGGTCACAGAACACAGGTAGCCAATAAACATTTAGAAAGATACTTGCCCTCAGTAATACACAAATGCCTTTCTCACTCTGGAGACTGGCTGATTGTACACCAAAAACACCAAGAAGCAAACATGCCCCCACAACGGTGATCAAAAGTGTAAACTCATTCAGGGTTTTTGGTGAGTAAATTAGCAATAGCTGTTTAAAATTGTAAATGTTATATCCTTTAATCCAGCACTTCCACTTTCAAAATTTTATTAGCAAAAAATTATATACATATAATTTTTTGGTTTTCAGAAAAATGCCTGAAAATAGGTAAAAGAAAGTTAAAGAAACCACTGCAGTTGATGAGTTGATAAAACAGGAGCTAAATCACAACACTGTAAACATGCTAAACAAGGATTTAAAGAAAGCTCTCCACACAACGTATAAAGGAGAAGAAAACAAGGAGCAAACCAGTAAGTAATGTATAGTCCAACTCCCCAAACAGAAACAAAGCCCAGTTGTATGGGATTAGTAGGAGTATAGGGAGAAAATCCAGAGGACAAAATTCACTTTAATAGTGTTTTCCCATAGCTACCAGAGGTATTTTAGGGTGGAAAAAGGATTTCCCTTTCTCCATTTCATCTTTATGTGGCTTTAAAAAATACAACAACAACAACAACATAAATATCTTACACAGTCAAGAAAAGGGGGTACAACCCAACAGAAGAGTAGTAATCAAAATATTTTAAATCTTCTTAAAATGCATTAATATTTGCTGCTATAGTAAAACAAAACAAAAAACTACTTCCTGTCCTAATTTCAGTATTTAAGAGGAAAATCTACTGAAGGATAACAATATTTTGTTTGTGAAAGACAATGAGAGTTTATAATTCTTGGCAGGTTACGATTTCTCAGGTCATCAGCCTTACTTACTCTCTCATATTAACGCTACCAGCTGCCATCAAGCCCACTCAGACACATGGAGACACCTTGTGTCTGAGTAGACCTGTGCTTCACGGGGTTTCAATGGCTAATCTTTTGGAAGTAGATCACCAGGCCTTTCTTCCAAGTGTGTTAGCCGTTTGCACCATCTAGGGACTTCCGGTATTAACATCAAACCAAACCCATTCCATTGTGTCAATTCCAACTCAGAGAGACCTTATAGGGCAGAGTAGAACTGCCCCATAGGGTAATATTTAGGGGAGTAAATCGCCACAACTTTCTCCCGTGGAGAGGCTGATGGGTCCCAACCACCGCATTTTAAGTTAGAAGCGCAGCACTTAACCACTGCACTGCCAGGTCTCCCTATATTAACATAAAACCCAAAAACAAACTCACTGCGGTGGAGTCGATCCCGACTCATAGCGACCCCTCCTTGGGTTTTGGGGGCAGTATAGCTCTGGTGGCACAGTGCCTAAGGCACTTGACTGCTAACCAGAAGGCTGGCAGTTCAAACCCACCAGCCACTCCTCGGAAGGAAGGTTGGGCAATCTAATTCCGTAGTGATACTGCCTCGGAAAGCCAAGGAGGGGTCGCTACGAGTCGGTCCGACTCGACAGCACATAACAACAACAACAACAAAATCTCTATGGAAGTAGATAGCCACCAGATCTCCTATGATATTAACATCACTCACTCACTCACTGCCATGGAGTCGATTCTGACTCATAGCGACCCCTCCTTGGGTTTCCGAGGCAGTATCACTACGGAAGTAGATTGCCCAATCTTCCTTCCGAGCAGTGGCTGGTGAGTTTGAACAGCCAGCCTTCTGGTTAGCAGTCAAGTGCCTTAGGCACTGTGCTTCCAGAGCTCCCGCCAGCCTTCTTAGGGAGTGTTAATAACATAGGGTGTGGAATACAACATGGATGTGGACAGTTGAAGGAGCTCTGGTGGCATAGTGCCTAAGGCACTTGACTACTAACCAGAAGGCTGGCAGTTCAAACCCACCAACCACTCATCGGAAGGAGGATTGGGCAATCTGCTTCCGCAGAGAGACTGCCTCCGAAACACACGGAGGGGTCATCGTGGGTCGGAAAAGACTCCACGGCAGTGAGGTTTTTTGGTTTTGGTGGGAATTTGAAAGCGACAGCTTACATGAGTGAAGAAATGAAAATAGTATTTACATATCGGGCACACAAATAGCACAGGATTCATTTCAGTCAGGCATACCTCAGACATAATAACTGAAGTTCCAGCTGGGTGTTCTGGGTTCTCATGCGCAGAAAGAAGAGTGTCTGCGTTTCCACCCACTGCGCAGCCATAGCTGTAGCCAGAAAGACGATAACCACCCTGTTGTTGCCCATACCAGCAGCCACAGTGGTAACTCTGGTGTGACTGGAACTCCTGCTTCACCCTAACATTAAAGAGGCAAGAGTGATGAGAAGTCACCAAACTAGGCAATCATTCACAAACCCTGGGACTTCTATGCAGTAGGTTTCAGGTAAGGACGATTTCAGCCTTAACTGTTTAAAGAGAACTATTTTCAAACAGATATTTGGTAAGCTGCGAAAAATATACAAGAAATAGAACAGTGGGGGCTTTCGTTTTCATTCAGAGCAAGAAATAAACCCTCACCTTTGCCAGTACCAGTAATAAAGATTTTGCTGAGCTGTGTCAAATCCAGCAAAACTCTTCTGTCCAGCCATTTATCCAGAAAGTTCACAAAATTAGACCGGGAATCCACAATTCTAACCCCTGCAAGAAAAATTGCAGCTGCTCTGCTAAGAACTCTCAACCCTAATTAATGCCTCCCACAATTACCTCAAAGATGGAAGGTAATTAACTTTATTGGAAATTCCTGCTAGGTAAGGAATTGTTTGACTTTCATGCAATGGGTTAAACCACGGGTGGGAGCCAGGCACATCAGTAACACCTGGGGAAACTTCTGCGAACTCTTCTATTTGCTTCAGGCCGCACTCACCCACACCAGCCACGCCCTGCAGAGGAGGGCGGGGCGGAATTCCGCCACAGCACCTGCTACAAGAAAGTCACTTTGGAAAAAATGACCGTGGGAAAATATATGTTGTTGTTGTTGTGTGCCGTCGAGTCAGCCCTGACTCATAGCGACCCCTCCTTGGGTTTCCGAGGCAGTATCACTACGGAAGTAGGATTGCCCAACCTTCCTTCTGAGGAGTGCTGGTGGGTTTGAACTGCCAGCCTTCTGGTTAGCAGTCAAGTGCCTTAGCCACTATGCTACCAGAGCTCCCATAGAACATAACAAAAATTTTGCCCTTTTAAAACCCTTTTTAACTGTACATTTTTAGTGACATTAATTACATTCACAATGTTTTGCTACCATCACCGCTATTTTCAAGCGATCAGCCCAAACAGAAACGGAATGCCCCTTAGGCAACAATTCTCATTCCCCCTCGCTCCTGCTCATTAAAAAAAAAAGAAAGAAAGAAAGAAACCTGCCATCCAATAGATTCTGACTCATATGGATCCTATGCCATAGAGTAGAACTGCTCCATAGGGTTTCCAAGGCTGAAAATCTTTACAGAAACAGAGTGCTACATCTCTCCTTCACAGAGCAGCTGGTAGGTTCAAACTGACCTTTTGGTTAGCAGCTGAATGCTTTAAACCACTGCACCCACCACCAGAGCTCCTCCTACTGTGGTAACCACTAATCTACTGTCTCTATGAATTTGCCTACACTAGAAAAGACACTTTTTTTTTTTTTTAATTGTGAATTGGGAGAAGATTTACAGAGCAAATTCACATTCCATACAGCAGTTCACACATACTTCGTCTCATGACATTGACCACAGTTTACCATAATGCAACAGCTCCCCTCCCACTTCCTCCCCTTAGTTACCTCTTCCCTGTGTCCATCCCTCCATGGAATCCTGCCCGCTGAGCTGTCTTCCTGTGCATAAGCAGCCCTTCTTTCTCCCATGATTGTTCTCTCCAAGGAGTGTATCTACTTAAGGTAAATGTTCAACTCCTATGCCGGTCTTTTGTTTGGCTGGAAACCACAGGTGTGGGTTCATTTCCAGACCTGAAGGGCAGTTAGGTGCCATAGTCTCAGTGGTTCCATGAGGCTCTCTCAGACCAGCAAACCTTTAGAAAAGACACTTTTAATAACTGAAACTGAAAATAAATGTAATCACCAAGAAAAGCCTGAACCACCCTTGGCTGCTCTTCACAAACAATTAATAAGAGATCCTAATACAATACCAGGATGCCTCAGAAACAACGGACTATCACAGTCCACACAAAGAAGCAAGATAAAGTGGTAGAAAAAAGAGAACAGGATACAGACCCAGAACACATCCCTGATGAAGAAGCAGCATTGGAACTCTCTGATAAGGAATTCAAAAGAATTAT